TAAAGAGGCCTGTGATGGTGTTTGCAAGATGGGGCTATCTGTTTCTGAATGGCTGAGAACTAAAGCCTGTAGTTAGGCTGTTTGTGCGCAACCCAGATCTAACAGCCTAACCTGCCACAGGTAAAGCAAGGGAACCAGGGCAGCTAGTGTCCTTCCTCCTTCTATGTAATGTAAATATATGCTTAAGAGATCTGAGGTAGAGGGATTGTTTTTGTGCGGGGTTGTTATGTCTTACTACTTAATAAGGGTACTGCACCTTGCATCTGGCAAAAACTGGTAGACCTCAGTCCTCAAGTTTGCTGTAGGCATACAAGAGGACAGTCTTGTGAAGTGTTAGAGAGTTGTTTGAAAGTGCTAACTGCCCATGATGAAAGGGGGTGGGGCATAAGCAAAGCTGACTAGGAAGAAAAAACTGAGAATTGAGTTACTGAAGCAGGATGTAGCTGAAAGGTCACAGTTCCCTTCCCAGTTGGACAGGAGACGGATCCCTGCCATTCTTGACATTCCTGTCCAAGAATATCACGGGCCCTGGTGCTGAGCTGCTCTTTCCAGTTCATATATTGTGTGTGATAGACCTCTGGAGAGTTCTGCAAATGCTGGTGTCTCCACTTCTATAGATCCACAAATTGGTTTGGATTTATTGTTTCTTGCAGGCACATTCTTCCACTCTGTCCCTCTCATTTCCAGCTGGTCATGTATTTCTTATTACCCAACCATTTCCCTTCTCATGTTGCCCCTTCTGCTAACCAGGGACAGAGATGCCTCTGCTACAGGTGCCTCCATCATGCTGCTAAAAGCTACCATTTCAGGAAAAAGCAATGGAAAATTCACTGTCCCAAAACTTCATTTAAAGTCTAGACCAGTGGTTCTCAGTCACCTTCGACTTGAGGTACCCCTTGTTTGGCTTGAGACATCCCTTGAAAATGGCATCTCTTAGCTTTGTCTCTCTCTTTCTGTAGTCAAAACAACAGAGTTGTTCTTCTGTTGCAAAGTATTCAAAGATCACAGCAGGTCAGAATATATTGAATGCTGTGGATTCCTATTTGAAATCTCTTGGTTTACCTTGCAAATGATGTTTGCACCTCCAACATTGTGTGGTATCCTGGGACACCCTTGAAAAAGATCTCAAGATCTCACAGAACCCTGACTGAGAATCAGTAATGTAGACTGATGTCCACAGTTCCTTCTACCTTTCCACAAATGTGAACTGAAGCTGTACCTAATTCTAGTTCCTAGCTTCCTGAAATTTAAAATGACCTCCCACACTGAGCAATGCCCTAACTTTTATCTGTCAGACGAGTACTTTTTCCAGCCATAAAGAGTTAAATGCAAGGGAGTTTGTGAGGGGAGGGATATAAAGCCCTGTCTTAATATGATCAAGTAGAGTTTCATTATGTCTTCATTGCAGCATTAACTTAAGTCTTTTCTTGGATTTGTCTTGACGCTTCTGTCTACACAGTCTTCTTGAGTTCTGCTGTACTTTCAGTCCAGGCTAGCTGGCCTCTCTGGGGTCATGAGCTACAGCTCCTGTGCAGTTTTTATTTGGTTTGGATACCTACCCATTTTTCTGTGCTCCAGTGCTAATAAATCAACTGACTAGGAAAAATCCTGAACCTTGATTCAAAGAAACATGAACCGTGCTATCATGTATTCATGGTTGAGTGCAGGTACAGCTGGGTGGAGAAGGGTATGGCTTGCTGTGCTACCCATGCAATGAAAATCTGAACTAAGCTTCACTTGCACTTTCCCCTTGTTTAAAGAAGGCTGTGTCACTGAAGGCAGGTGTATATGTTGGGTTCTGATAGGCATAGATGATACATAAAGTACTTGTGTTTTGAAACTTATTCCTGTCTCTCAATTCCATGAGATGTTGGTAAGTGACTGAACTGTACTAATGGCCATCTTGCAGACACTTTAAAGTGTTTGTGCATTCATGGATTTTTCAGAGTAACCAAGACCATGGTAAAAGCCTCCTAGGATGTTGTGCACATGTGGTAAAAGCAGTTGCTATTGTTCTTTTTAGCTAGGCTGCAACCTGGTTTACGGCTTTATCTCCATATAACAGGATTAATTATTAGGGATTGGGTTGGAAAGGGTAATCTGAAGAGTGGTGTCCAGAGTCTTATCTTTAAAGTGTACAATTGTCGGCATTGGCTATTTCATATTACTGTTTCCTTCAACAGGAACTCTAGGCTGGAGAACCAGCCTCAAAGGCATTATGGAATAACATCTCCAATTAGCTTGGCTCCTCCTAAAGAAATAGATTATATTCACACACAAAAATTAACTGAAGCAATGAAGCCATTTGGAGTATTCGAAGATGAAGAAGAGCTAAATCATAGGTACAACTTTGAATATACTGGAGCATTTTTTTTTAATAAACTTTAATACAAAGTCTAACAATGTTTCTTGTTTCAGGCTAGCTGTTCTTGATAAATTGAATAATTTAGTCAAAGAATGGATTTTGGAACTTGGTGAGAGTAAGGTAAGGGTTTTTAGAATTCTAATCGCAGCACTAGGTAGGAGTAGAAATGAAGACACATTTTTTCTTTTACTTCCCTACCTTAATTTATCCTGCAGATGCTTATCAAATTTGGGGTACCCCTCTTTTCCATTCCTCAACCCTCCCCCTGAAGAATAATAAACTTCTTATCTACATATTGGACAGTAAACTTGCAACAATTATTCAAGTAAATGTGGAACATTTTAACCATCTAGATGTTTACGCCTATTTTCTTGATTTTTAAATGAACTTGTAAATTGGCTGTATCCGTTTTAAGCTTGATAATGGGTAGATCTCTAGTTTCCTCCAGAAGAACATTCTGGGAAACGCACTTAAAAGCAGAAAGTTGACTTTCTAGGCTTGAGCCAACAAATCTGAAATAGTCTAGCAATGAAATAACCACCTGTTTCTAGTGCACTGGCTGCATCTAATTCATTCAGTGCTCTTCAAATTTGTGTAAATGGACATCTACACTTTCTGCACTCCAAATACATGGTCTGGACTACTTCAGTGTTTTTTCCTTTTTTTTCTTTTTTAATAGGTCAGCAGATAACACCATAGTTCTCATTTTTTAGTTAGCTGGTGACCATATTGCAGTTTCTTTAAGGTAGCTGGGATGATAATCACACAGATTAGGGCTTCCCAACCTTTTGATGCTGAGGACTGGCAAACTGCGGACCAAAAATAACTGGAATATTGCAGACAGGCAGCCAACCCCTTTTTTTTATACTTTTATATTTATATGAGGGGGGATTGGCTGCCTGTCTGCAGTTTGCCAGTCACTTCCAGTCCGTGGCAGCCAACCCTCCTGCAGACTGGCAGCCAACCCTTTGTGGCCCGGTATCAGGAACCCCTGATATAAATAGTTTCTCTGCTTTGCTTAGTGGTGGATTGAAAATTGTGGCATTGCGCTCAAAACATCTTGGGTGTTTGTAACTAGCAGGATGAAGTGTGACTATTTGTTTAAATCTTAACTACCAGACTTAACTACCAAAACAAGCTGGCCTGAGTTAACTTTTTCCTTTATAATGTTAATCACATAAAAATTTTAGATCTTGGCTTCTAAAGCAAACGCTCTTAAATTTTGTATTTCTGCTTTATCTTTTTAGAACCTTCCACCTTCAGTTGTAGCAAATGTTGGTGGCAAAATTTTCACATTTGGGTCCTATAGGCTTGGAGTTCATACCAAAGGTAAAACTTTAATTCTGTCTAGTCACAATTTTTTTTGTTACTAACTTAGTTGTTTAACTGACAATTCGTGGGATATCTTTTTGCAGGTGCTGACATAGATGCCCTTTGTGTTGCTCCTAGACATGTGGAAAGATCAGATTTCTTTCAGTCATTTTTTGAAAAATTAAAACATCAAGATGGAATCAGAAATTTAAGAGTAAGTTTGCTTTTCTACAGAAAAATGTTCCATTTTAATTTTTTGCTGTTAAAGGGACACAGTCAGTTTAACTCAGACAAACCCAGTTGGCAGATGACCAAAATCCAGTTTCTCTGGGCATTCTTTACATGCTATTGCACAAAATTGTCTAAAATGCTAAGTTTGAGAAGTCAGGCAACCGAACTAGAGTGTTTTGTGTGACTTGCCTTCCTCCCTGGTATATATACATTCATAAGAATTTTCAGTATGTAATTGCAATACTCTTTTTTTTTTTTTTTTTTTTTTTTTTTTCCTTCTCTTTGGGAATGTTGTCTCTTGCACTTGGTTGACCTCTTCTGGCCATGAGTCAGATATGTGGTAACAACACTGTCTGTAGGGCCCTGCCCTTATTGCTATAGAAGTTGGAAGAGGCACGATGAATAAAGCAGGGGTATGCAAGAGGGGAAGACGTCTATGTTTAAATATTTTTGGAGAATGGGATTCTTTTCCTGCTTCTGACACACGAGTCACATGATTTTTGCATAACCTCAGCTGAAGAGTTAGGTTTGAGTGGAGCTGAACTTGAGACTGGCATCTGACTTGCAGAAATGGTCAGTGGTGAATTTGGTGGGAGTAATGTTTTGAACATAAGCTAAACTGTCCTTAAAAAGCTAGCACCTAGGTGCATCAGACTGGGCACTCAAAATCAGTTCAAGTTTTTTACTCTGATCGTTGGCTCAGCTGCAGATTTTTAAAATGCAAACTTTGTTTGTTTGTTTGGGTTTTTTAAAATAAAACTCTCCCTTTTGTACATTGTAGTGAAGATGACTTAATACTTTACAAAAGTCATTGCCTACCAATAATAGTTATGCGCTTAATGTTATGATCCTCCTTGGCAACCAGCTGTACACCAAGCACCTTAACTTTTTCTTGGTAACTAGTTAAGATTGTTCAGTAAAACTTTCAGGGAATGAGGTTGAGCTGCCTGCTGCTGCTGCTTGCCTCCTTGTCTATTTCTATGGCTTGTTTGGAACTCGCCTGGGCTTGTTGGCTTCAAACACAAGAAATCTGCATCTGCATTTCTGTAATTCCCTGTTCCCGCACCCACTTTTTTACACTTTGCAATTGGAAATGAGTCTAAAAAGAGAGAGAAGATTGAACCTTTCTAGCATTTGGCTTTGCATATAAACAGCATGATGCAAGACTGACTGTATGGCATGATTGATACAGTGACTTGTGTGGCTTCAGCTGCTTGAGAGCAACCCTGCAGTTAATCCTGAATATCACAGTGTATGTATACTTCTGAGCTTCATAGCTCACTTATGGGCAGTTTTTCAGTGGACATTCCTGTTGGACCTTGACTCCATGCGACGTGTAATGACTGGGGAGACAATGGATCAAATGACGCATTGCTCTTCAACAGCTTTATTCAAAATGGAGGCAGCTTCGGGCACACTCCAACAAATCAGGGAGCAGCCACAAACATTAGTTCTTTTCATATTTATACACCTTGGTTTATACTTAACATTTACCCCACCTTTGTCCTTCCTTTGTTCCACCCTTATTCCTTCCCATCTTAAGCTCTGCCTCTTTACTGTTTATTTCATTAACATGGAATTACCTATGCAATTTGCTTATTTACATGTCTTTTTGCTGTGAGCGCATGCCTGAGACTCTGACCCCTGCTTCTTACGGTCTCTTGCTGAGTTCCTCACCATCTCCAAGGTCCTGCTTCTGCTTTTATCTCCTAACAATAGCCAGTGGTGTGCATCCTGTTTTTCCTTGCACAATGAGCTATATATCTTACAACAATACTATATTGTTAGGAAAATGCATGCCTAAGTGTTTTGCAGTGTTACTTTTAAAATACCATTCTGTCTTGTGGGGTTAGCAGCTTGCTAGGCCACAGGTTATAGCTTTTTATTCAGCTGCGAATCCATTGCTCCCCAAGGTTCAAATACTGTCACCCTAACAATTCCCTTGACTGTATTGCATGTCCATACCTTGTTCTTAGAGCCTACGAAGAAACTCTTTATCTCGTGCAGTTGAATCTGGCAAGGATCCTGTTGGGAGAGAATTGAATGATGTGATCAGACTAGGATGTGCACAGGCTTTATGCCACCTTCATTCTTGTGCGTCTTGCCTTTTAAGTGCTTGATTGACCTTCATTTTAAGAGGTTTCTGAGAGTGTAGGTATGGGTATGCATCTTCCAAGGCTTTAAAATAGCAAATTGGAAAAAATCAGTGCCATGACCCATTGACATCCATACAGTTAACTGGCAGAGTGTGAATCTGTAGATCCACCGTAGGGATTTCTACCAAGTGAGTTAAAGGAGTCACATAGCAGAAGTTATCTAACATGCATCCTGTAGATTTGAGGGGAGCTTTGTGAAACTTTAAAATAGCTGGCTAGAACTAAGGCCATTTCTGATCCTCTGATTTTTATCAACAATTCTTAAGCATGGGAGAAATAGGAAGCAGTAGAAACATAATACAGTCAAATGCTAAATAAAAACTCAGTTGTTTTACAAACTAACTAGATCAGTAGTCGTTGCAGAAATTTCAGATGAATGTGACTTTGACACCTAAGGAAATACTTACTTACCTGAAAAAGTAATAGCAATTTCCCCTTCCCCCCCCCCCCC